AGGAGCGCTGCGGGCATAGGAGCATATGGATGACAGGAAGTTCAAAGTTTGGTCTCCTTCTTTTTGGTCAGTTGGCTAAGTGAAAGGTTATAGAGCTGGCAAGGAACTCTACAGAGGGGGAGAAGAGGTTTCACCTTCTGAGCCTTGTTTCTACTATTCTCCCTCTGGAACAGGATTTGGATACAGAAGTGATCTAGGGTATCAGAGATGCCCATCTTCTGTTTTCTCTTTGCATAGACCTCCATCCTGATAGAGGACCACGAGGGCCTGAATGTATGGTACTTTAGAGCATTTCCTGTGTTTCCTACAAAATAAGTACAGTGCAGGATGATGTGCTTGAGCCAAACTTTGCTGTCTCCCAGCTGGTATCTGCGCCAGAAGGTGTTGCAATAGGAGTATCTTTTTCTTTAGGTTTACACAATCAAAGTTAATACGATTTTTTAAAAGATTTCTTTAATTGCACTTATGAGTTATTTATTGAGGGGTGTGTGAGTGTGTGTGTGTGTCTGTGTCTGTGTCTGTGTGTGCGCGCATGTACATACCATGGCTTAAATGAAAAGCAGAGAGGACAACTTGTGTGAGTTAGTTCTCTCCTTCAACCCCAGTTAGTGGGTTTTGGGGCGAGCACCCACTGAGCCTCCTAGCCAGCCTTATTCCAATCCTGAGGACACACAGTAACAGGAAATGAAAATGAACTGTCAATAATGTCCTCAGGGGAGGACAGGAAGTAGCTGATGTCTGTAGTAAGGGCTATATATCCCTCTTGCCATTCCCAGAATTCTTCAGGTCTTAAAAGTGGTGCTGATTGTCACCCTCTTCCATTTCACCAGGTATTCTTGGGGGTTCTAAGTGTAGCCCACATAAGCTTCAGAAATGAGGCAGGACATGGTGGCACACACTTTCAATTCCAGCACTCAGGAGGCAGAGACCAGCCTGGTCTACATAGTGACTTCTAGGCCAGCAAAATTTGTTACACAGAGAAAACTAGCTTCAGAAAACAAACAAACAAAGATACTGGCTGTGCTCCCAAAGATACTGGGTGTACTTGCTCCTCCCTAAGAATTGCTTGTATTCTGATTTGGGATGCCCTTCTGTATGCTGTGAATATGTTTTATTACCATTGGTTAATAAAGAAGCTGCTTTGGTCCATGGTAGGGCAGAATAGAGCCAGTTGGGAAATCCAAACAGATACAGGGAGAAAGAAGGCGGAGTCAGGGAGATGCCAGCCGCTGCCAAGGAAACAAGATGTGAAGCAACAAAGCTGTGAGCCTCATGGTAAAACACGGAATAATAGAAATGGGTTAATTGAAGTTGTAAGAGTTAGTTAATAATAAACCCGAGCTAATAGGTCAAACAGTTGTAATTAATATTAAGCCTCAGAGTGGTTATTCGGGAATTGGTGGGCAGGAGAGAAACCTCCAGTTATAGGGTTCTTTCTCTTCTGGGACTAGTCCCACAGGATTGGGTGAAGGGCCCCGAAACATGTACTTCTGAGGTTATTTTTGTGTGTGTCTTAATTTTTAATTTTATATGTTTGAGTGCTTTGCCTGAATGCTTATCTGTGTACCACATGCTTGGCTAATGCATATGGCGGTCCAGAGAGGGCATCAGATTCTTTGGAACTTGAGCTACAGATGGTTGTGAGCTGCCATGTGCATGCTGGGAATTGAACCCAGGACCTCTGGAAGAGCAGTCAATGAATGATCTTAACCACTGAGCCATCTCTGTAACCCCTTAAGTTATTTGTTTTATTTGTTTTTCTATCTCAGTAGATTAAGGTCTCTCTTCTAAGAAAGAAAGAAAAAGAAAGAAAGGGAGCAGGAAAGAGAAGGTGTGGTATGAATAAACAAACAATAACACTAGATTGCAACACAGGAAGTGAGAAGTAGAAAAGTAACCAGAAAAATTGTATTTTAATGTATTTGTAGCATATTCCTTTTTTTCTGGTGAGAGTAAAGGTCTAGTAAGTGTAACTGTGGACCAAGATCTGCTTCAATGTAACTAAAACTAAGCCAGTTCCATCAAACGTAGTATCTGTCAGTGGGTTAGCAATGTCTGGATATGCGCTGCCTGATAATCATGGGTAAGGATATCAGGGGCAAGAGAATGATTCATAAAAACAAAAACAGAATATTCATGCAGAGGGTGGTCATGATCATCTGATCAGAGATTCAGAGAGTTCTGTGGAATTCTGACACAAAGGAGGAGCAGCTCTCACCAGAATTAAGCAGTCAACAATTCATAGGATGTTACAGACTGAAAATCAGGGTAACGGACCAATGAGAGTCAGAAAGAACAAACAACAGATTGGGCAATATGTGCAGTTTGTCTGCTGCTTGTGAGCCTGCCGGCCTTCCTACGGTCATTCTACATTCTACGTGCTGAGTGCTGAGGAAGTGAAACCTTGGGAAGGAAGGGCAAACCGCACAGAGGGGGGGAGGCGGGAGGGGGGCTGAGTCTTCCTAGAGAAGGAAGGGAGTGGGACCTCAAGCTCAGAGAAGGGCAGAGAGTGCTTTAACTATTGATTTTTTGAGCAAAGACTTAGCGCTGAGCGGGAGGTAAGGTTCAGAGCTTTAAAAGTACACACTGCACAGGCCGAGTTCATGTCCCAGCACCCAGGTCTGGCAGCTCAGCCTGGAACTTCAGCTGTAGAGGGCATTCAATGCCTCTCCCCTCCATGGACACCTGCTGTCTTGCGCACGAACACAGAGAGGCACACTCACGCTCACAATCAAAAATAAAATAAGTAAATAAAAAAGGAGAGAAAGAGCATAAAAATACAAAACAACTTGCTCCTGTAGGGGTTGTATCGTGGGTGTATTTACCAGAGACTACTATTCAGACGCAGGTTCAAGTCAAAAGAAAGTCTTTATTAGCTGGACTGTGACTGCACTCGGGATCCCAGATAGCCCGAAGCCATTCTCAGGGTAAGCATTTAAGGACAAAAAAAAAAAAAAAAAAAAAAAAATGCATTCTAGCTTGACATACTTTAGTTAACAAGAACACTTAGCCAGAAGTGAAACTACAGAAGTCAAAAAGCACTGACTTCTCTTGCAACGGATCCAGTTTCGGTTCCCAACACCCACGAGGCCGCTAACAAATATCTCTGTAACTCTAGTTCTAGGGAATCTGATACCCCCACCCCCGCCACCCCCATCTTCTTGGGCACCAGGCACACACATAGTGCATAGACATATACAAATACACATAGAATAAAAAAAATTAAAATGTTCATAAAACATTTAAGGAGCAAAATCCGTTTGTGTATTTTATCCCATGTTTACGTGCGTGCGTAAACGGCGGGACTTCTGAGCCCCATGCTGCGTGTGTGAGTCTGAGAACAGCTCTTAGGAGTTGGCTTCTCTCTTTCTCCCTTCCTCAGGCTCCATTATGAGCCGCAGCTTCGTATCCAACAGCACCTCTCCACAGCCTGCCCATCCAGCCCGCCCATCCAGCCCTTCCCACAGCTCACGAGTGCTTGTATTCTGAATTTGCTGTGTCTGAATGCTCTTGCCTCCTGGTTTGAACAGACGCTTTCATCCGCAGCTCCACGCGTTCTTCTGTTCTTTCCCCTCAGAAACCCCTCATGGCTTTAAGGCTTATTTCCCTCGGCGAGACTGGCGTAGCAAACCCTAGCCAAAGAGCTCTCTCCCTTTCTCCTTCTTACATCGCTCTCAGGCGCAGAGTTCAAAGTTCTCTTTGATGTCATACTGAATAACCCTTCAGTTTAAGAGTAGAGGTTGTGAGACTCGGCCAGTCTACTAATAGTGGCAGCTGGAAGTAGAATCTAAGTGTCTTCATATACATGCAGAGACCATGGTGAAAACCACTGCTCTGTATGCTAACCTAAGTGCAACAGAGAAAACTTTCTGGGTGTCTTAAACCCTGCCTCCTTCTAACGACCCCTTACTGTTTTTTCTTTCCCAGCGATACTGTATTATATTCCATCGTTGTTTTCTGTTGAGATAGGGTCTCAATATGTAGCAGGCTGGTCACTCTGCAAGCCAGACGGACTTCCAACTCAGAGAGCTTTGTCCTCCTGCCAGTGTTGGGATAAAGGCATGCGTCCATCTAGTGGGTTTAATTCCATTCAATCTTGTACTTTGTGTAATGAATTTTTATTTTATTTTATTTTTGGCTTTTCTCTTTTCTCTGGCTTTTCTTTGGCCTCTCCTGGAACTAGCTCTTGTAGACCAGGCAGGCCTTAAACTCACAGGGATTCGCCTGTCTTTGCCTCCCAAGGGGTGGGATTAAAGGCATGTGCCACCACTGCCAGGAGTACTTTGGTTAATGTTTATAGATCAAATAGTCCAGATTAAATTATAGGCCTATCAGGATAATTATTGGTGTCGGGGCCATTATCAGGGTCCATTATCCGCCCTTATTTGGGGGCCACTCAAGACTGGACTTCAAAGAAAGGGTTAAATAGAATTCAGATCTTTGTGAAGCCCAAGCGGAGGATTTTGTGAATCTATTTGATAATGCTACATTTGAGCACTCGGGAGGCAGAGGCAGGCGGATCTCTGTGAGTTGAAGGCCAGCCTGGTCTACAAAGGGAGTTCCAGGACAGGCTCCAGAGCTACAGAGAAACCCTGTCTCGAAAAACCAAAAAAAAAAAAAAAAAAACAACTTAACATTTGAGGTCGGGGTGGACAGGCCTAAGCTATCCTATGCATCTCAGAATTTCTGACTGTGTGGCTGGGCACACTCACTCTGAGTCAAATGTTTATAGGTCCATATCCTGCTGGAGGAAGAGGGAGATCAGGCTGACTCCAAGCTCAGGCGGCAGATATTCTGAGGCCTCAAGGACTTGCTGCTGCAGGAGGGGGAAAGGAAGGGTGGGGCTTCCCCCATTACAGTAACTCTCCACAGATTTCTGGGAAGCCTGCGACGACGTGAATTTTAGGGAAAAGTCTCTTTGCAGCGACCAAAACAAAAGAGAGGGAAACCTGAGGCAGCAGGAGCTGAGCTTCAGCAGGAAGGAGAAAGAAACAAGAGAGAGAGAGGAAGTGGCTAGAACAAAGGAAGACAGAAGGAAACGGGGCCCTACGGGGTAGGTGTTGTCCCTGCGGCCGCAGACAAATGAAATATTTTAAGACTGGTGCTGCAGGAAGAGAAGAATGGAATGAACGTTTTTAAAGAAACAATCCAAGAATAGACTTAGCCTTGTGTTCTCCCGAGACTGCGTTTTCCTATTTTGCTTCGGTAAACACAACCGCTCTGTATTCAAGCGTGTGCTAGGGACGTGGAAGGGGCTGGCTGAGCTGCTGATCTCAAAGTCTGGTCAGTACAGGAGAACTGACGGACACACAGACTGAACAGGAAGGCTGATGAGATGATTCAGTTGGTAGAAGTCAAGGAGGGTGGGTGGGGGTTGGGGGAGTCATGACTCTTAAATCAATGGGAGAGTTCGAGGGGTATTGACAGTGTTAATTGTTGATAACTTCTTTTTTTTTTTTTTTTTTTTTTTTTGGTTTTTCGAGACAGGGTTTCTCTGTGGCTTTGGAGCCTGTCCTGGAACTAGCTCTTGTAGACCAGGCTGGCCTCGAACTCACAGAGATCCGCCTGCCTCTGCCTCCCGAGTGCTGGGATTAAAGGCGTGCGCCACCACCGCCCGGCTTGTTGATAACTTCTAAGTGCTTTGCATGGGCTGTGCCATTTGAGTCTCGCGAAAGTGTGGGTACCATTTTATTACGCTTATTCTTCAGATAGAAAAAAACGGAGGCTTAGAACGGAAGTAAGTTATCCAAGAGCATACGTGGAGAAATGTATGTTTCGTCACGAGGAAACCTGTGCTGGGGCTGGGGATATAGCTCGGTGGATAGTGTGATCACCTAGCAGGCACAAAACCCTGCTTTTGATCCTTTGCACTGCATAGGATAACTGGGGAGCGGGGGGGAGGGGGGGAGGTTGGTGTCAGTCGTAGGCCCTAGGACAGTCTTCCGAATTCCTTCCGCCTCTCAGCCGCTGCTGCTTTTGCATACTAAGTGCATCTTGTTGGATGTGGCGGTCTCAGGAAGAGTAGACGTAATTGGAATCCCATCTTTGGAGGCCCCTCCCTCCCCTGTGCCCCTCGAACCTTGACCCTTCCCCAGGAAAGGTCAAGACCACTCCCACAGGCTATTTAAACTACTCTCCTCCAAAATAAACACGTTGGCGGTTTCCCGTTTCCCCTCGAGGCCACCTGGGAGTGCAGGTGTCTAATTAAACCTGGATATCTTTTAATTTGGTCTGATTTGGTTTGACTGGGGTTATTTTGCGTCGGCGGCGTGGCGTGGTTAGGAAATATTCCTAACAATAATCGTCCGGAAGGTTTTGCAGGGGTGGAAAGGGGTGGGGTCTCAGGTAAATGGAAGCTGGTGTCGCTCTAAGCACCCTCCTCCCTACCTCCCAACCTGCTAAGAGCCGAGTAAAGATTTCAAAGTCTACACTTTCTCTCGGATTTGAATTGTGGATGATTATTGTAGCAGAATATGGGTTAGTGGAGGATAAAACTAGACGCAGAAGGACTGTGCTGAAGTCACGCCATGAGGCAGAGAGCTTCTGGAAAGGTTACCTGTCTCATGCCAGCTCCTTCCTCTTGATAAATGCCTTTAGCACCCAAGGGTCTTTCTCCACAGCTATTCTTGCATCAAGAACTCCCTCAGCCTTCCCTACTTTCTTAACCTGTGTTGGTCTTCAAGTTCCACCGGAAATTTTGAAACATGAGTTCTAACATTGTCACAAACAAGTCACCCTTGATGTAGGCTCTTCACAGAAAGGTCCAGGAAACCCCGTTTCTGCTAAAGCCTGTGGAACTGTGTGAGGGCTGCCTGCCCACAATGAGTATACCTTCATTCTATGTCCATGTTGGTCCAGTTCAGTCTTACTTTCCTTCCTCTCATGTGTGCCGTAGTGCCCCAATTATTGGGGAGAAACAGTGAAAACACAAATCAAACTAGTCTGGTAGGTTTGGGGAGAAAAGAATGTAGAGTTGGAAGTATTTCCTGTAGGGGAGAGTTTGGAACAGTTTCCTGGCTTAAGGAGATGGGGTCCTTGTTGCTACCATTATGAAGACAGGGCATATGAGAAAGAAGGGGTCTACGAGGAAACACTGGGCTTGAAGTACCCAGACGAATTCCTGTGGAGACAGATGTTCAGTAAATTAGAGAGCCGGAACTGGAACTCAGGGAGAAAAGCCTGAGCTGGAGGTTACTAGATCGGAGCTTCTGGAATTTGCGTAGCATTAATGCTTCCTCAGAAAGACTCACAGGATGTCTGAAGAGAAGAACCCAGGAATGGACTTCTAGAGAATACCAATGTTGGAAGGAAGTGATAGGGAAAACTCTCAAAATGAGAAGGAATGATTGATTTGAGAGGGAGACGCAGGGCTGGAGAAGGTGCTGAATGAAGCGGGTGTTGGAGGAGGGCCTGTCTAGATCAGCTCAGCAGCCCTCCCTCCAGCCTCTCCCTCTAGCCTCTCCCTCCTGCCTTCCCTCCAGCCTCTCCCTCCAGCCCTCCCTCCAGCCCTCCCTCCAGCCCTCCCTCCAGCCTCTCCCTCCAGCCCTCCCTCCAGCCTCTCCCTCCAGCCTCTCCCTCCAGCCCTCCCTCCAGCCCTCCCTCCAGCCCTCCCTCCAGCCCTCCCTCCAGCCCTCCCTCCAGCCTCTCCCTCCAGCCTTCCCTCCAGCCTCTCCCTCCAGCCTCTCCCTCCAGCCTCTCCCTCCAGCCTCTCCCTCCAGCCCTCCCTCCAGCCTCTCCCTCCAGCCTCTCCCTCCAGCCCTCCCTCCAGCCTCTCCCTCCAGCCTTCCCTCCAGCCTTCCCTCCAGCCTTCCCTCCAGCCCTCCCTCCAGCCTCTCCCTCCAGCCTCTCCCTCCAGCCTTCCCTCCAGCCTCTCCCTCCAGCCTTCCCTCCAGCCTTCCCTCCAGCCTCTTCGTCTGCAGCTACCCATCCTTTAGCACTGACCCTGTCACCCACACCCAGGGAATTTCTTTCAACTTCCTCCCCTGCTTTTTGCTTTGATCCCCTGAGCCTTCTTGCACTGCCTGCCTTCTTTGGCTCAGTGACTCAACTAGGCTATCTGATGGCCCTTGAATGTTCTGAGTTCCCAACAGTGAAAGCAACCTATGGTTCTTTTACACAATCCACCTGCGTTAGTAGTGCCCCTGAGTAAGGAGGTAAAGCCTTTTCCGTTCACGGAGGCTGTGGGGAGGGCAGCAGGCACCAGCCCTGATGGTGGCATTTTACATACAGATAACTTATGTGTAGAGTAATCCGAGAAGCCATATCAAACCTGTGCGTATCCGTTGTTTGTTTTGGAACATACATCAAAGGAAGAGACTAAGGGAGAAAAGTAGTAAGTGGTGTAAGTCGGGTCCCATGGTTTATAACAGTTCGAAACTGGACAAGATCCAAAGCCTCCACCTCAAAACTGTGATTAAACAACCGCACACCAACGGACGCAGAACACCTTGTAACCCTCCAACATGATAACCATCCAGATGTGGAAACGCAATTGGGAAATAAAATGAGGCAAAAAAAAAAATAGTTGAATCTCACCAATTAATGGCAAGGGTGTGCAGAAACTGGAATTTGTATGCCTTCTTAGGAGGATAGAAGATGATAAAAATTACCTTGGGAAACAGTCTGGCAGTGTGGAGAACTATCATTTGGTCCAGCTGGACCACTCCTAGGCACAAACCAAGGGAAATGAAAACCACAGCTCCACACCAAAAGTGATACAACAACACCCATATCAACATTATTCACAGCAGAAGGTACAGCGACAACCCAGACGCCCACCGAGTCCTGAGGAAATGAAGACGTGCCATACTGCTTGGCCCTGCCATCACATCCAAACATGGATGAACTCTGAAAACATTATGCTTAGTAAAAGTGTGTCTTAGTAAAAGACACACGCTCCCACCTTTTCTCCACACCCCCGCCCATTAATCTTAAGTGCCAGAATGGGAAAAGTTATAGGGATGCAAAGTGTATTAGTGGTTGCTTATGGCTTGGGCATAGAAATGGGTGTGGGACAACTGATTGGGTGTAACAGCTAATACACATGTTCTAACATTGGTGGTGGTGATAGGTGTACAACTCTGCGGAGATATTGAAAATGATTATAGAATATAGGTTTCAAGTGGGCGAAACTGCACAGCAAGTGAATTATCCCAGTGTATTCCTCAACTTGGACATTTAAAAATCATTGCATTGTACATTTAAAAAAAATTTATTTATTTATTACATGTACAATATTCTGTCTGTGTGTATGTCTGCAGGCCAGAAGAGGGCGCCAGACCTCGTTACAGATGGTTGTGAGCCACCCTGTGGTTGCCGGGAATTGAACTCAGGACCTTTGGAAAAGCAGGCAATGCTCTTAACCGCTGAGCCATCTCTCCAGCCCCTCATTGCACATTTGTACAGTATTTTTATACTGATTTGTGTATGGGGGTGTGGGGGTGGATGTGGGCGTGTACGTGCGCATGTGCATGTGTGCACAGATGCATGGGTGCACAGACGCATGCATGCATGTAGTGGCATGCTTGTAGAGGTCAGGTAACAACTTTTAGAAGCCAGTTCTCTCAAGCCTCGAACCCAGGTCCTTAGCCTCAGCAGCAGGTACCTTTATCCACAGACCCGTCTCACCCGCTCACCAATCCCTCATGCTTTTGCTTGATGACCATTCAATTTTATTTTTCCATTTGTAAAGCAGGAAAATGAGTTCTACCTCACTTAGATGTTTCTAGGCACAGCATGTTCAATGATCTCATTTTCTTGCAGGGTTGTTGAAGTATAAGGTTAAAACAAGATGGTGACAAGGTCCACTAACCTATGAAGAGAATTTGAAAGGGAAATCTTCCATAAGCGATAAGCTAGTCTGGGTCTCAGTTATGCAGTTGTGTGCCAGGAAGCAAACTCAGCGGAGCCTCAGCCTCAAAAGGAAGTGCTGTTGTCCCTGTGCTCCATTGTCTTGAAAAATGTCTTTATAACTGTCTGTGTGGGAATTAAGAAAAGATTTCAATATTCTGAAAAGGTACGCTGGTGATAAAGGTAATTTGGAGGTTTGGGGTG